GCTTCATAATAGGACCTATTCTTCAGAGTAGTGATCCATCCAATCAGAATAATTAAAAACTATTAACGGTCAGAAATTTATTAACCAATCACATTACGGGTAGGATTAATATAGAAGTATTTTGGAGAAATAATACTCTATATCTCATGGAACATGTCAAATAAAAAGCTTGTGATCTCATATTTATCCTACATGCTTATTGCTCTATGCTTTCACTATTATTATTTGAATTGAATTTTGATAGATCTCACAGCATTGCAAATGATAAGTTCTTGTATTGATATAATCATTACTACTCCATTTACCTTTTATATTATCTCTTATATTTTCTTTTTTATGGTCTTTATTGCATATAGGGCAGGAGACTGAACTATTAAAATCAAAATAATCATAATTTTTATGACCCTTTAGGATCACCCTTTTGGGCCTGCTATACTTCAAAGATAAATAAGAGAACTGCTTTAACACTTTATCAATAACAGACTTTCGTTTCTCTTCTGGATCATCAGGTAAAATAGAGATTGAAGATTGAGATTTATTATCAGAGGCAGATACAAGATGGCTAGATGTAGATATACTTACTTCAGCTTCCAGTAATTTTGAGGAAGCAGAGTTTTGAGCCTTTGTCTCAACTTGATTATTTTCTTGAGTTGATTCAGAGCCAGAAGAATCAGAAATTTGAGATTTAGTAGGTATACTTACCTCAGTATTTGATAGAGATTTGTTATTCTCACTTATAGTATCTTTCCGATTTTGACAGGAAGCTCTGGATGAATTTTCAAAAGTTAGAGATTTGTCTTTCTGCTTGGAGAAACTATCTATGATTTCTTTAATTTTATCATTAGTTAACTCCAAGATAGAATTAACACTATAAGTTGTGATATACTTGATCTTATCTATACCTAAGTTTTCAAATAATTTGTATATTTTTATGACTTTCTGAGTTTTCTCTTGCAAGTATTTACGTGAAATTTCTGGGAGTTGCAAATCTGTATCTTCAGATCTCTTTTTACGGAGAATGGAAAGGTCTTCTAATATTTTATTATAAATAATTCCTTTCACTTTTTTCTCATTAACTTTACAATTTTTTATAGTTTCGTTAACCTGAGTTATAAATTCTTTTTCATAATAACACCAGCATAAAATTTCTTTCTGGTTTGCATGAATTGCACCATATTCAGCATCAGTCACTCTATTAAATAATTAAGCTAAAGTAAGCAATGGTACTGTAGAAGAAATTTGACTCTATTGTAATAAAATATCATTAGAAGAACTGAGAGTAGGTCTATATGTGTCATTTTGAATACCATCAGATATCATTTAAGAAATACTTTCTGCCCCTTTTTTCCTATGATTATTTTTTGGCAGGGACACTTCAGCTGAAATTTCAGTTATGTGATTTTGTAAACTATCAGATAATGGAGTTAATGATGTCTCTTGTTCTTGAAGCTTCTTCTCCTTATCTTCCGATGATTTAATCTCTGTGCAAGTAAGTGGTGTGAAATTTTTGTATGAATCAGTTTCTGGTTAAGATGAAAACTTCTGATGTATATCAGAATTTGAAGTAATATCAGATATATCAGATGTCAAAACATCATCAGTTTGTACATCTATCTGTTTAGGGATATCGTTAGAATTTTTCATTTTGGTTATATTAAAGTTACTCTTTTCTTCATTATTTTGAGATTGGTTTTGTTCTAATTTAGCAACTCTAGCTTTAAGTTTGGCATTTTTCAAAGCGGTATCTTTATCATTCTGTTCCAGTTTTATAAATCTGGATTCATGCTCTTCTAAAGATTATTTTAATTTTATGTTCTCAGCTTTAAGTTTAATATTCTCAGCTATAACATTATTATTCTCCTTCCTAAGTTTATCAATATCAGATAAAAGCCTAGAATTTAGTTCTCTCAATGATTCTATTTTTTATAAAATGAAAATATATTCAATTAATACAAAAAATAATTATGATTACACGCAAAAATCTTTATTTAACAAGTGATTATCTGATATATTTATATTTTAAAACCACTAATTATTTTCACTATATAAGAATTAAACTATATTCCATCAGGTAATGGATTCTCGGTCTTCAATCCGTGACATGCTCATCTTAGATCTAAGAAAAATAATCCATTATTAATCTATTTTTTAACCTGTATAGTTAATTACAGAATAACTTACCAATATGTTCTCTTCTACAATCAGTAGATGATAGCAAAACTCAAATCTGATTGGCTTTCAGCTTTTCGAGTTTGATTATGCAGTTTAATCTATTTGTATTATTCAAGTCTTGTCAAGGAATTGTAAGAATAATTGATCCATTCACATCCCACTTAATTTCATTCTCAAGATCACTATAGACCAAAGAAAAATCACGTATATTATGGAAGAAGATACTGTGGACAAAATATATAACACTATGTCAAATATCACTTGTAATTGGAAGATTATCATGTAACAAGAAACGTGATGAGAATGTCATAAGCTGTCCTGGTTTTAGCGGAATTATGATCTGAAGCTATGGAAAACAAAGTTCACCTCCCTCAAAATTACCCAATGCAACCAAGCAATATAAGGAATTTGGTTTGTCATTCTCATCCCAGTAATAATCACTAATCATGTTAAAATTAATTATGATCATAGGAAAAATGTTAAATAGTTGAGATCCAAATAGCCTCCATTTTAATTTGGATAGTTTCTCATATAACTCTGCATAATTATATTGAATAAAATCATTGACATAATCTGACAACAGCTTTAGAGAGTGAAGAAGATCATTAATATATTCGCGATAATTGGTATTATGGGAGCTTGCGGTGTTTGAGCTAGTGAAAGGAAGAAGATTATTTCGCATGTATACTTCAAAGTGTTCAATAAAGTTCGTCCAAAATTCATTGCTACGATGTGATAGGTTATTTAGTATATGAAGATAGTAGTGATTGATAGTATTTATAGCTTCTGTGATCGCAGATGGATTATCTAACTTTTCAAGATGTAATAAGATTCTATTTCCACTATCAATGACATACTCTGGTTCTACTATATATCAAAATTATACAAGTCTTTCTAGTGATCAAAAATTACTATGTGCTGATATAATTAATTGCATTCTCCTTTTTTAGTTGATATTTGTGATTGAAAAATTTACATTATTTTGCAAGTCTAGAGTATGTTTAAGTTTTTTCCACTTATATTTAAGATGTCGTCACATCTCTCTTCGCTTTATTAGCTCTTTGAAACCCAACCATCATCCAAAAGTAACTCACAAGTAATTGTCATTATCACTGATAGATGGTAAGTCTGCATCTATTTCGTCCACCTTGCTAATTATATCTACATTGACCAATGTGAGAAAGTTTAAAGGAATTTTGGATAAATTGGGATCATCATTATTAATTTTTGCCTCTTGAATTAAGGTTTTGACAAGTAAATCTCGAATGGAAATATCTTGTCGAGTCTTGTTTTTTTTAGATGACACACAATCTTTGAAATTGATAGGAACACTCGTCCATTCTCTTTTAAGATAATAGACTTTATCATGCATGCATAATTCTCTGGTTCCATGTTGGGTTCAGTGCTAGTATTACTGATAAAAAATATTAATGATAATCAAGCAAATGGCAAAGTAAAAGTCCAATATTTTATTTTTAGATTTTAGATTACTTAGGATTGCATATTTTGCGGAGCAGATCAATTACTCTTGCCAAAGTACTAAGTCATCATCTCCACTTAGAGTATGACGATTATGGCCCTATTGAATTTCACAACTTGTCAAAGCAAACTCGTGATAAGTAACTTAGGTAATTCTTCTATCAGCATAAAAATCCAATCCTCGAATTTAAAGATTCATAAGAATTCATAAAAATAAATATACCCTCAATGAATCAAATACAATATTAAGGTTGGTGGAAGAGTTAGTTGCTACATCTTCTAGTACATGAGGATGTCCATTTTGTTTATGTCCATGTTCATATTCCTACTTAAGTCTTTTATTTCACTGTTTGCGGGTCTCTTGCAATAATTTTTTCATAGTTGATATTTCCTTCAACGTAGCTTCTTCTTTCCGCTTATTGATCAGATTACTTATGTCCATCATAGAAGTTAGTGATGGGATAAAGGTTTGCAATGTATTAACTAATAACCAGAGAAATCAAAAGCAATACTATTCAACAAGCCATCTCATGAAGTGAGAAGCTGATATCCTATTCAAGATGAATAGCATATACTTTCACAAAAAGAATATAGGAATGTAATTGGTAAGAGTATGTATATGATAGTTACCCAATAACCTCCTGCTAATTTCTGGTATGATCCATCCAATCAGAATAATTAAAAAACTGGAAAATTATTAACCAATCAGACCACGTCAGGATCGATATAGAAGTTCACAGAATATATATAGCCAAGTGATAGAAAGATAGCTGGTTTATTGATAATGTATCATTCTATATCTAGGTCATTACATAATTTATTTGGGGAATGTACAACTCGATACTTAATTATGTTCCATGCATCATATTAAGAGCGAAACTCATATCAAGACATAGAAAAATTAACATATAAACTTTTTTATCCTAATATAAGATATACCACATGAAAATATCAATATAATATATAATATTCTCAACTTGAATTCTTTATTAGCAAAGCCATGACCGATACAATAAAAATACATGTTAATTTATATAATATCTTCATACTTACCTATTATTGGGTGGAAACTTAATGGTAGAGGAGTTCACTGTCTTTTTTAATATCTGGATCAGTGAGATCTTGTTATAGTGATCGTGGTGTTACTAACTCATTATCATAAAGGAACACATCTTCTCGAGCTTGTGATAAACAAAAAGCTATATTATATAAGGACACATCAACTTTTTCTACAATCTTAGTAAGGGTGTGAATATAATTTCATAGAGACGCCTACAAATAATTCTATTAATTAACCAGGAGTTTGTTTATCTAACTTCTCACATTCTATAAAAAGATGATAACCTTACCCTTAACTTCCATAATTCATCCATAAATCCAACAAGTGAAGATTGGTCTTGATTCATAGGAATTTGCACTGAACCAAGATATTGAACAAAGTAAAAGGCTCTAAATGGTATAGTCATAATCCAACATGCTATGGTTCCATCTAAAGTAGAAATGGTTAGTTTTGAGTGAAAAAAATATAATTGTGATATTACATACCAGCAACTTGGATACCAAAAACTGGCACCCTGTTAAGATCTTCTTCTATTTTCTTTACATCTCCAACTCTCCCTCTAGTAAGTTTCCTTAGTAATCACATATGAGTATCTTTCATAAGCTTGATTAACTTATCCCAATTATCACAGATCTTTTTATCAGTCAGAAGAACATGTGAGACCTCCATAAGATATATTTCCACTTTACCAGCAATCAGTAGAGATTTCACATGAAAATTGGACTTGTATCCAATTCTGATTTCTTCAGAATCATCCATCTGACGTTGAGATACCTCTGAGACTTCTTCAGCCCTGTTATGATGTATGTAAAACTTGTTATAATCATTATGTGATTACCTCTGGTAAAAATTCATATTTTAAATATTATCTAAAACTTTACCAGATGATTTTAAGTTTGATATTTTTATAGCAAAATAATGGATCAAGAAAGTTAGATACTATGCAGACGATATATGTCCTCTTAGTATATTCAGCCTTGTTTTCATTATTAAAGTAGCACCAGATATGTCAGCTATAAGAATAAGAGTATTAGAAATTGATTAATTATCAAGATAGAAAAGCTCAATTACCTACACTGAGTCTATGATCCTATGCATCACACATATATCTTCAAACTTCTCATTATTTTCTTGAAAATCCACTGGTATAGGTAGAAGTGAAACTATCATTTCCCTTTTATTCAAGCTTTTTAATTTTCCTAAAAGAACTTTAACTAAGTCAGAAATAATGGGGCTTGTTTCGTATTGATCATATATCAAATTTATAATTTCTCTCAAATTCTTCTTTTGTTCTTCTGATAACTTTCCAAAAATTATATCTGCATTTTGATTAATAATACAACTAAAGCTAAGTGGATCATTCCATTCAATATTGCTAGCATCAAAGAATTCAAAGAGATCTCTCAACTCATATAATAGTAATGAATGGAATGTCTCATTTTGGATTAAATCATTTTACAAAAGTATCAAGTAAGAATAAGCAAAAAAACCATAACTCCCATAATATGAATACGTTACCAATTATTTTCCAATTTTTTTCTTATTTGAAAAGACAAGATTCTCCTCTGTTAGGCTTACGAATTTAAGAGAAACCTGAAATGTATAAAATATGTTAGTGTCAGTAATAAGTTTTTCTAAAGCAAAATTATAGTAGTTCAGTCAACCATTGATTTCATAATCTCTACTGTTGATATATATTGCATTCTTTACTTATTCTATAAAAATAGAGGAGTTAATATATGAAAAATCTATATTCTGCTTATTATTTAATGCTCTTATTTAATCAGATCTCTGATTTCTTCATACATCACGAATAACTATCAGGGCCCAAATCTCAGGTGTGAGAAGGTGGTATGAAATTGATTCTCAGAATAGATGGAATGTTATCATATGAAAATACTATAGATGGGATAAAAAATAATATATATATTGAAAACCTTGAAAAATCCTTCATAAGTATCTCATAGAATGTTACTAGATTTGGCGGAATGACATAAAGCTTTCTTGCAAGCCAGCTTATATATTTGAAACATGTCACTCATAGAACTATATCGTCTGCTATTTGCATTAATTGTATAACTGAACCATAAAGCAAAGCATACTTTTCTGACTTTATTACAATTATTCTTCAAATACTCAATATCAAAATCCTTCCAACTGAGATATTTATAATCCTGCTCTATTTTTGTATAAAATTTAGCAAATATGAAATTGGGATAAAAATAATTATAAATAAAGATAAAATTATACTCTTCTTCTAAAAGAATCTGCATTTTTTCTTTCTGAAAGCATTCTTTACAAAGAAAATATTTAAATCTGATTTTTTATGTTAGTCAGAAGATTACACGATTACATTATGCATGCAGAAGTTCCATGATCTTCTAATTTATTCTGTGATAAATGTATTACAAAGTAATGGCAATTGATTTTAGGCATGTGATTTTATAGTATAATCAATTTTTTATTAGATATATCGACAAAAAGTATTAAAATTTTATTACTTGTTTAAACGAAATTCTGCATAGCAGGACGAAATCTAACTCTCCTCCTCATTTATAGATTTCACTTGAGGTGGCTGACTATCTCTAACGTCAGACATACTAAGATCATTATCACTCCATAATGTAGATGTATTAAGTTTTGAGATTATATTTGCTAACTCAGATGATGATGAGTATGTCGTATTATTTAAATTTTTACCTAAATCTCCACTCACATTATTCATGTTATTGCTTGAATTTCTATCCATATTATTTGTTTTATTCATATTATCTTGATTGGTAGTTTCGTCTCTTTTGCTAGGAGTTCTTCAGTCTAGAGATGCTAATCGGTCTCTTTGACCAGTGGAAGATTCATGGTGACTCCTATTTAGTATCGATGAAACTTTATCAATAGTTGGTGCTGGTATTATATTTCCCATATTTCTATTTCGTTTACGGTTTGAGGTATTGATAATATGAATTCTATCGAATTCATCTTCAGGCCTCTCCCAGAAATATGTATGAAACTCATCAAAGTATTATGCATCCAATTGATTTCTCCATGCTTCACGTCTATCTGACATATATTCACATATTGTCTAGAAACCCTAAATTTTGTTAATAGTGAGTTAGATAAAAAATATTGCTTTATGACTCATAGAGTTGCCCCTAAAGGGCCCATGCGAACTTACATTATAACTCTGAACAAGATTTGAAAATTTTTCTTTACAATAATAACTAGTAAAATTAGTCTTATACTTTTGATTGATTTTATTTGCAATACTATGTCAAAATACATTTCGATTTCTTCTGAGGTTATGATACTTTATATTTCTATTTCTTCATTCTTTGATTAGAGTATCTATATGTGCATCTGTCCATTCTACCATTTTCAACCAGAGTTCTATCAGAGTTCTATCAAAGTTCTACTAGAGTTTAACCTGTGTTCAACCCATATTTAACCCATATTTATATTTTATTATATATTTATTATGAGAATGTATAATCAGATTTCAACCAGAGTTCATACCATTTTCTACTTATTTCATGTCACTCAAAAAATTATTATAACTAAACTTGAATTGGTATTATATCCAAAATTTTGTATAATTAGATGTGATAGCATCCTCACTGAAAATGTATACCTCAGATTTACATATCTTGGATCAGGCGATCTCAAATGGTAAATGTCATACATTCTTATCACTAGAAAATTAAATCATATGCTTATATTACACCTAAAATAGATTATGCAACAATTATCCCAAATATAGATCTACATACCCAAAATAGATTTTCATTTATGGAGATATTTCATATGCTCAATGAGTAATTAGGTATATATACATGAATGATTTATACATAAATATCTACATAAATAAATTCTTACTAAACTGTATTCTCATCATATCACTCACAAAATATGACGAATATATATAATTTATCTAATAACCTAATTTGTACTAAAAATGAATCCAGTTTTAATTATCAATATAAAACTAAATCTAATAGGTCCAATTATCCTTAAATATAATATAATCACATAATCTCTAAAAATTCTATAAATTACTTAATCATTAAATATGATCTATACAGATAAATGTCCAGTTTTGAGTGATATTGAATGGAAAGATAACTGTCAATTTCTAGTAATCTGTAAAGGTGAAACTCCATTTAATTGGATGAAATGAATTTGGGATTAGTTGACGAATTATAAGAATAATAATTATTTAACTGATGATAAAAAGTGATATCTTATTGTTAGAAAAATGAAATATTTGTGGGAAGATGATCTTGATCATACTATAGGTGTAAGTATAGCAATATGTCATTCATGTAATAATCTCATTTATTCTAGAATCAGAAGTGGTTATGAGTGTGGATTTCATTATTTCATAGATAAATATTAGAGTACAAATTGCATAGGAAACGTATATTGTGATATTAGTCATAAAGACTATATGGAACTTAAAAATAGATCAGAAGCTAGTAACTCCTACTTTGAAAAAGAAGTGATTCATCATTATGAATTGTGAATGCAGAATGCTATTAGAAGAGTTAAACGTGCAAGAGAAATTGGTAGAAAAATCAGAGTTATAAATATCATATCACAGAAATGGCTTGAATACATATATCACCCTGATGATCTTTGTGCTTCAGAATTAGTATTACATTACCAATTATTATGGGTAGTTCGAAAAGAAATGCGCCAAGTTAACAATATATAGACACATCTATTTTGTGATGATTAGGCACTATGTACCTGTGAAGTAATAGCTATTTTTTATTGATTTCTATTGATATATATTTCATAATTTTTTACCTGTAAACTTTTTGCCTGCAAACTAATATTCAATGTTTCATCCTGATTACAATCCCATTATAGCAAAACTTCCAAAAAGTCTGGTTAAAAGAGCATATCATAGACTTTTATATCATTCTAGATCTTCTGTTACATTAGAGCAAATTTCTGAAAAGTGCGATTGAATTGAAAATTATTTGTACCATACATTAGAGGTATATGAGAAAGAATTAAATAAGAAGTGTAAAAAACAAATCCAAATTATAGATCCACTTGAAAATTTATCATATAATAATAAAGCTAATATTAAGACATATATAGACATGATTAACCAAGAATCACAAACCCAAGATGCTATTCTGATTTGTACATGTGATCAGATACATAAGTGTTCTTGCTTCACATATGAGAATAAGATCAATCATCAGGTTAAGAAAGAGGTCGATATTTTATTTCAGCAATTACTGGAATATAATAAAAAAATCTTTGGCAAATTTATGCGAGAAATTATTATAGAGCATGAGGATCGGATTAAAGCCAATAGGAAATTATGATGTGAGATTAAAGAAAAGAAGATAGAATTGCAAGAGGTGGAAAAATTCCTAAAATATCTGAAATCTCACTCTATTTATTAGAAAGATCAAGAGATTGATCCCATTCTTTACGAATATAGAGCGGATCTTCTTTCGCTCTAGTCAAGTCAATAATAATAAATTCTCTATCTTGCAAATTTTTATCAAGTATATTGACAACATCATGCCATTTTTTTGTATATTATCGGATAATGTTAATTAGTTTATCATATGTCCCACTGCTATTAAAGAGAACAATGTAATCAAGATTTTTTCTTATTAGTTTAAGACAGTCAAAGAAGCTCTGTGTCATGTATATCAAACTGATATTTTTGTGCTTTCCCTCAGTAAAATAACATGTTATTTTATCTTGTATTTTTTTAGATTCTGTACATACATCTTCGAATACAACTACTATCCCTCTTTCAGAAGAAAAATCATCAACTTTTGGTATTTTATCAGGTTTCATTGCTCGAAATGTAACATCTTCACGATATTGTTTGGAGCTATTTGCAATTATTTTATAATAATCTCAGAGATGTTTATACTTGGGCTTGTTAATTTGATGACTGATCAAAATCAAATCATCATTCTTAATATATCTCATTCTGCCTTTTTTCCTACTAAATAATTGATATATTTTATTTTCAAGTAAAAGATTGATAACTTCGTTAGTTTTTCTTGATCTGGTTCATCCACTGACTAATAAATAGAAAGGCCATTGAGGTGTACTGTTAAGGCTGTTAAATCTCTCTATGTTTTTGTATTTGTCAATATTCAAAATCATTCTTTCAACAAAATCAAGCTTTTCTATTTCCATATTGATCAAGATAAGTAATACTAAATTATTATATCGAAAAATAATGATCTTATAAGTTTATTCTTTGTGTGTTAAATAATCCTTTCCTTGTAATTTGCTTTTTATATATGGTAATAAATCAGCATCAAAGTCAATTTCGATGAGATCTATACCTTCTCTTTTATATATTTTCCACTTTTTCTCATCACGTTTTTTTTACTCATCTAAGTCTATCTTGTCTCGCTTATGAAATATTAGATTCTTAGAAAAATATTGAGTCTCCTGGAATTCGAATGCTAATTTTAGCTCTTTGTTATACCTATCTAATTGCATCTCATTCAAAAATAACGGTTTACATGATGAAAATTTCTTATCTAATAGATCTTTAAAAATATATCTTATATTTCTCTCAGTAGTGTGATGACATAAGAGATACCATTCAAAATTCATAGCTATTAATAGATATGAATACTCAAATTGATATTTACCATTCTGACATGACCAAAAGTATACATTCTGATCATTAATTCGACCAGTTTTAGCTAAAATACTTCTATCACGTTTCTTGGCATATTATTAAATCCTGTCAAATTCATTACTAGAAATATAAATAAAATGTATCAATCCAGAAGGGTGATATTTTTGTATAAAATTATTAGGTGGATATTTGACTTCTTCAGGATTTTCTATTACTTGGAGTTCTTCTTGCTTGAATGGTCAATATGAGTTACATCTCATCAAATAAGCAGTAGATTCAATAGGCTCATCTTTGAGATAATATAAGACTGGCTGTGGTGAATTTCTTTCAACAATAACCTTTTTAATTTGATAAACACGCAATAAGAAGTATGGATTAGTTTTCCTATGAATATATCCTCCTTCTAACTCACCTGATTTTAATAAATATCTTATAGTCATTCCTTTTTGTAATTGCAGTTCATCTTTCCCAATAGGTCTTTTAGGTTTGATAGTTACTTTGGGAATCACTTTCCACAATATCATAGCATGATCAGGACTCATACCGATTAATCGCATTTTATTATTATTTATATAGTTGATAATTTTCTGAAGTATCTTTTTCTATAATTTTGAGCGTTCATCTTCTTTGAGTTTTCCTTCTATAGCATATTGAATTTTATATATAAGTTTTGTCAAATCTTGTTTGAATTTTTTTACTAACGCTAAGCTTTCAAAATTATAAAGGTCTATAATTCTTATAGGAATATTATAACATTCCATCCCTCAAGAGAATGTTTCTTTAAACTCCCCCACACTATCTACCATCAACAATGCTAGCTATGTGAGAGAATTTTTGAGATCATTGTATATTTTTTTGATCGCGTTCTAAACTTCTAAACTATTCTTTGATGTTAACGCTACTGCACATTTAAATCTTGTTACCACATCTATCAGCATCAAGGTGTATAAATACACTTTCCCCTTTTTCTGATCATCATAAACATGAGGTAATAGATCATATTGGTATAATTTATTAGGAATTTGACATTTAGAAAAGCTAGCCTGAGCCTTAATCTTTAATAGATGATGATCTATTTGATAATTATACTGATTTTCTAATCACTTTGTTATATCTTTGAGTTGGAAATGACCATATCCTTCTTTTTTGCACACCTTTTGTAGAGCTTTCACATTCAGATAAAACCTGGGAATATTATAATAGAGTATATGACAAACTATAGTTACCTCAGCATATAGATCTATATATATAGTAGATATACTTATTTTGGCTATACCTTTATTTTGTAT